ATGCTATTAGAATTCCAGGTATGGTGGCACACACCTGTAATCCCAGCACTTGGGAGGCTGAGGCAGGAAGATCGCTGTGAGTTCGAGACCAGCCTGAGCTACATAGTGAGTTCCAAGGCAGTCTCAACCACATAGTGAGACCCTGTCTCAAAAAAAAAAAAAAAAAGCTATGCTATTAGAGTTTTTTATCAGAATTGCATTGAATCTGTATAACAGTTTTGGAAGTATAGCCATTTTCACTGTATTGGTTCTTCCTATCCAAGACATAGGGATATCTCTCATTTTCTTCTCCTCCTTCTCCTTCCTCTTTTTGTTTTTTTGTTTTTTTTGTTTTTTTGTACCAGGGAGCAAACTCAGGACCTTGAGCTTAGAAGGCAGGCAGTAGCACCACTGAGCTTTTCTCCGGCCCTCCATTTTCTGATAGCCTCTGATCTCCATTTTTGGGGTACTGTAGTTTCCAGTGTAGAGGTCTTTTACTTCTTTTGTTAGATTGAATCCTAGGTATTTCATTTTTGGGGGCGATGCTCTTGTAAAAGGTGTTATAGTACCTGTATATTTTTAACTCTCTTCTATTCCCAACCTCCAGGTATAAATTATTAAAACAAAACAAAACAAAATACTTGGACATATGTAGTCAGAGAGGTAGGGAAGCTGAGGCAAGAGGATCTCAAGTTCAAAACCAGCTTGAACTACACAGCAAACTTTGTCACAACAAAACATGCTTAACACTGAATAGAGGCCTCTTTTGACCTAGTGCCCCGCGCTGTGTCTCAGAATGTTGCCCACCTCCCCCTCATCCTTTGTGTATTGAGGGTTTCATGTTTGTGCCATCCCAAAGGATCCCATGCATCCCTTAATGTTTTCATTTTCTCTGTGGTCACAGATTCCCTTCTCTCTTTCTTTTATTAACTGTTAGGAAGATTAGTGTTGGTAAAGCTGGGCATGGAGAAAAATCCCAGCCCTCTGCAGGATCGACATAGGATCAAGGCCAGCCCCATAGTGAGTTCAAGGCCAGCCTAGACTCATAATGAGACCCTGACTGAAAAAACAAAGAACAAACAAACAAATAAAATTGGTAGTAGTCATCATGGCCGTATCACAATGTGTCTCTATGGCTTTAAAATGTTGAGCATTCAAGCCAGGTGTGGTGGCTCATGTCTATAATCCCAGCATTTGGGAGGCTGAGGCAAGAGGATCGCAGTGAGTTCCAGGGCTACATAGTGACTTCAAGGCCAGCCTGAAAGGCCTACAAAGCAAGACCCTGTCTCAAAAAACCAATGAAAGAGAATCAGAGTGAAGAGCAGAACCTGCCTCCCTTTACAGAAGACAAAAAAAAAAAAAATCCAGATGATCTCTGAGGCCATCACAGCTTGCACCCCCCCACACACTCAGGGGAAGGCAGCGGCCGTGTTGAGGGGACACTGAAGCAGCACCCAACTTGTAAATCACACGAATCTGTCAACCAGGAAGTGGGTTCTCCAGGCCAGGCCAGGCCAAGCACTCAGACCACTGCTGCCCCCACTGGCATTTTAACTGTGAGAGACCCAGAGCCAGATCGCATAGGAGGTGGCTGCTGAACTCTGCACTGTCAGAAACTGAGTGAAATATCTGGGCGTGGTGTCATAGGCCTGTAATCCCGGCAACAGGGAGACTGAGGTAGGAGAATGGAAAGTTGTAGGCCAGGCTGGGCCACATAGCCAGTTCAAGTTCAATCTGGACTACACAGTGAAACTCCGTCTTAAAACAACAAAAATAAGCCGGGCAGTAGCACATGCATATCTATAATCTCTGTACTCAGGAGGCTGAGGCAGGAGGATCATAAGTTCAAGGCCAGCCTGAACTACACAGTAAGATCCTATCTCAAACAAACAAAAAGATAGAGTTTAAGGGCACAGCCCAGAGAAGGGATGAACATCTTCCTGATGGGACCCCTGAGTTCGTGCTCCAGGGAGCATTGTGATAGAGAGGAAGGCTGGCCCTGATCCTGGGTGGCCCTGCCGTTGTGGTGCCAGTTGCCATGAGGTCCCCACCAGGGCAGGTGACACCAGCATGTGTCCTCTGTAGAAATGTGAACGGCATGGACCTCTCTGCTCTACAGAGGCATCAGCTGCAGGAGTTCTGTCACAGCGACAGCAGGGCAGGATCCTGCCTTGGCCGCGGGTCTGCTCCAGAAGCCTGGCACATCCTTGTGAACCCCATGTGCCAGGGCTGCCTGTTCTACGTCAGGCAGCGTGCCAGGTCTACTGTGGCAGGCAGAATGGAGTCCATCCAGGAGGCAGAGAAGAGCGGGATCCTGTGTGATGTGTGAGGAGGGTACATGCCCAGCCTGGGAGTAGTGAGGACTCCAGGAACGGAGACACCCCACAGAGAGGTAGGGGAGCAGGGGACACTTGGGCAGGTGAAGAAACCGTGTGACATTTTCCAGGGTTGCATAGACCTGGGCTGCACAGTTCCAAGGGACTGAGGAAGGGAGGAAGAGCGAGAAACACACAAGGTGAACCACGCCAGATTCTGACCATGGAACCAGAAATGGAAGGGGAGGCGTTAGAAACAGATTTGCATCTTGTAAACGTTGTTCCAGCCTTGCCAGGTGTGGTGTCACAAGCTGATGATCCCAGCATTCAGGAGGCTGAGGTAGGAGAATGAGGCTGAGGCAGGACTGCTGCGAGTTCAAGGCCAGCCTGTGCTACATAGAAATCCTGCCTCAAAAAATAAAATTACAGCTTCAAGGTGGGTAATCAGGACAAATCTGGGTAGAGAAGCACTGCAGAGACACAGAAAAGGGTCCACAAAAGGCTAAGCTATGGCCTCGGCCCTGGAGATGGAACCTGGGGTTGAGTGTCACACAGGCAGCAACTCCTGCAGGACATCGTGACTGAGAGCCACCAAAGAGATCCCATCCTGGTCTCAGTGGCTCCTGGCCCTGTTTGTGTCCTAAATCCTTCTGATTTGCCATCATTTGTAGCCAAGGGTTTTGGCTCTCACACGGTTTGCTTGTGCAGAAAGTGTTCAAGTAGGTGCATGCTGGAGGCCTTGTGCACATGAGGGAATGCACCGCCACAGAGCTGAGCAATTAGTTTTTAGTTTTTTTATTTATTTGAGACAGGGTCTTGTTTGTAGTTCAAGCTGGCTTTGAACTCACTTTGGAGCCCAGGTTGGCCTCAAACTCATGGCGATCCACCTGCCAGGGTTACAGGTGTGTGCCACTGTGACCAGCCTCTATTTTATTTATTTAGTTTCAGTTTTTTGACCCAGGGTCTTGCTATGTAGTCCACACTGGCCTTGAATTCACTGTGTAGCCCAAGCTGGCCTCAAATTTAAGGAGATAGTCCTGCCTCTGCCTCCCCGAGTACTGGGATCACAGGCATTCGCCATTGGGTCCCATGCCCTGTGTGTAAATCTGAAGAGCCAGAATTACTGTGTAGTATCTCATGAACCTCTCTATTCCTTTTCCCTCCTCTGGGGAGGATGATATAGAGGGAAAAAAGTGTAACTCCCAACCTGCTAGATGTCAGACATGCCAAGTCCATGTTCCCCAAAGTAGAGAGAGAGAAAAAAAAAAAGAATTCTAATGAATAATGCAGTTTAATAGTAGGAAAATTGGCCTGGAATGGTGGTGCATGCCTATAACCTAAAGACTCAGGAGGCTGAGGCAGGAAAATTGCAGTGAGTTTGAGGACAGCCTGGGCTACAAAGTGAGACACTGGCTCAAAAAAAAAAAAAAAAAAAAAAAAAAGGAAGGGGGGGGGAAAAAAAAAAAAAAAAAAAAAAAAAAAAAGTAGGAAAATGTATTGGGGAATAGGAATGGGGAAAAAGAATAGCTCTTGAGAGATAGGTGGGGTCCTGAATGGGTTGCCAAGGAGCCCACTTCTCCTATAAAGTTTTTTTTTTTTTGGTACGGGGGATCGAACTCAGGTCTTTGCACTTGCAAGGCAGGCAGCAGAACTACTGAGCTAAATCCCTGGCACCTCTCTGATAGTTTTATAGAGCAAAGTCACGATGTGATTTTGACATGATTCAAAACTGTAATCAACCAATAAGATCACTAGTATAGCCGCTTGGCTAATATTGATGCAATAGTAGCAAGAGTACGGATGACATCATTAGCTTGATCCGTAACCAGCAGTTTAATCTTGTCTTTAGGCTTCGTGGTAGGAGAGGACCTTGTGGTCTCTTAAAATGGGAGCTCTCCCAAGGGCGGTACCAATAATCTCATATCCATTTATCCCTTTTAGGGACCTTTGTAAGTCTGGCCACTGCGACTTTAGTCTTCTTCAGATGCGCCTCCAGCCATGGTGGTGCTGTGTCCTCATCCTCTGCACTGACTCCCTTGAGGACCTTGCCCTGACTGACTACCAGGAATCTTTCTGCCTAAAGCAGCTGTCTCTCTAGGATGCGGGAAGGGACCCTAGCCGGAAAGCCAATGCCTGGGAGTCCTGGGTCTTCCCGGGGAGCACAGGATGGGGTCCTCCCGCAGGTCCCGTCCTGCTGAGTCACACCCAGAGGAGGCATTGACTCCCCTCAGTTTCAAGCCGTGTGGAAGAAAGGAAATCAAACTACAGATTTGCCCGGGAGCTGAAAGCATCCTGCCTGGGCAAGGGGACAGCGGCTGACCACCTCAGTCCTCAGGATGTCACAGAGCAAAGACTCTGAGCTGGGCCCAAGAACCTCGGCATCAACACAAGCCCTGGCCCTTGAAGTCATGCTCTCCTCACCCCCAACTTTAAGAGGACTCCTGGCACATCCACTTGTACAGTTTATTTAAAAAGAGACAGCCAGGGCCGGGGATGTAGGTCAGTGGTTCTGCTGCCTACCTCGAAAGCAAAAGGTCCCGAGTTTGATCCCCAATACAAACAAAACAAAACACCCAAACCAAAAACAACTAAAAAGAGCTGAGGATGTAGCTCAGTGGCACCACTACTGCCTGGTAAGCACAAGGTCCCGAGTTTGATTCCTGGTACTTCGGGAAAAAGAAAAATAAAGAGACAGCTGTAAGGCAGATGGCTTCTTTATTGCAAAGTCAGCAGTTACCAAAGAGGAAACGATAAAAACGACATTGGAAACTTAAAAATACAATAAACCCGTGGTATCTGAGCAAGACCCAAAATTCATAGGCTATGAAAGTGTCTCCTGGGCTGGGAACGTCCCTGCCTCCACCCCTGGAAGCCGGCGCTGGCTGGCGATGGAGCAGGCTGTGATTTCGGAGACTCTGGGACCCTGATGTGCACAGTGGCAGGGCTGTGAGCCCCAGTCCGTGCTCGCGGGACCCTTCTGCTTGGTGTCACGGCCGATGGCGCGCTCATTCTCAGAGCTGAATAGCACCAGGGTCAGGAGAGGAAAAAGGGCTGAGAGGAGAAGACCCGGCCGGTGAAGAGCGGAGAGGGTGGGCTTGGGGCACTAAGGCCCAGGAGCAGGACAGGGGACTTGGGTCCACTCCCCGCTGGAGCTGGAGATGGGGCGGCCGTAGTCGCAGGCCCTGGGTATAGAAGCAGCCAAGACAACCTAAGAGCGAACGGGAGAGGACAGAATAGAAAAGGGCAGCGTGGCCCCTGAGGGCCACGGAGAGCATCTGGACAAAGAGAACCGCTGACGTGGGCCAGGGAGACGGTGCGGGGGTCGCCGAGGGGAGCGCTGTGGGGTGCAGCAGCCCTGGCCACCTCGAGGGCGGGGGAAGCCGGGACGGGGTGAGCTGCGGGGTGAGGGCGCTGGCGGCCCGGCCCAGCTGGGACAGCGGCAGGCCACTAGCTGCTGAAGGCGGCCCTGAGCTCTCGGAAGGCCGCCCGGCGCAGGCTCCTCTCCTCCTCCTCCCGCCTCCGCTCCTCCTGCTCTGCCTTAAGCTCGGCCTCGAACTTGCTGGCAGATGACAGGGCCTGGGCCTGCAAAGAGACAAGGTGGTTCGGCCAGCGGGGAGGCCGGAGCCCGTTTGTGCGCACAGCAGCGCTTGCTTGCTGCTGCTTAGACGCATTTCAATCCGCAGGGGGTGCTCTAAATTCTTTTTCTTTTTCTTTTTTAGCAGTGGTGGATTGAACCCGGGCCTTTGTACGGAGCCACATCTCCAGCTCTTCTAAAAAAAATTTTTTTTTGGTAGGGCTTTTTTTTGTGTGTATGGTACTGGGGATCCAACTCAGGTCCTTGCACTCGCGATGCAGGCTCCGGAACCACTGAGCTAAATCCCCAGCCCCTAAAATTTTTTTGAGGACAGGCATGGTGGTGCATGCCCGAAATCCCAGCACTCTGGGTGGCTGACGCAGGAAAATGAGCATGTCTTTTTTTTGAGACAGGGTCTTGAAGGCTGGTCTTGAACTCGTGGCAATCTTCCTGCCTCAGTTGCCCAAGTGCTGAGATCACAGGTGTATACCATACCTGGCTGAAGTAGAACTTGTAATTTCCTCTTCCTAAATAGTGAATTGTCTCAATATCTCTTATTCATAGTCCATTAATGCCCTGCCTTTTTTCACATTCTAAATCCTCATATGGAAAAAACCTATTATTTTCTGCTCTATTTCAGTGACTGATTCATCCCTGCATCCATATTACATCGCTTCGTATTACCACCTGATAGAACACCTGGATGTTTATAGGAAAGTAAATGTTCTTTTAAGAAACACTGTTTCCAGACCTAGGGTACAGGTAAGTGGTACAGCATGTGCTTAGCATGTGTGAGGCCCTGGGTTCGAATCCCAGCATCTTCCCAAAGAAAAATAGTGTTCTTTTCATTCTTTTCTTTCTTTCTTTTTCTTTTCTTTCTTTTCTTTTTTTTTTCAGTCTGGGGATTGAACCCAGAGCCTCAGCTCATGTTCTGTAAGCACTCTACCTCTGAGCAACCTCCCCAGCCCTTTTTACAGTTTTAAATTTTGAAACAGGGTCTCCCTAAGTTGCTAAATTGCCCAGGCTGGGTTCAAACTTGGGATCCTGCCTCAGCCTTCCAGGGTGCTGCGATTATAGGTGTCCACCATACCTAGCCACTTGTTTCTTTTTGACATTCCCTATAAGAATATATATATATATTTCTTTTTCGTACTGGGGATCAAACTTGGGTCCTTGCGCTTGCAAGGCAGGCCACCGAACCGCTGAGCTAAATCCCCAGCCCCAATAAGAATATATGTTTAAAAATTATTCTCACAGTCTTCACACAAATCTCCTTAAATGTTGTAACTGTGTCACACTTCTTGATGTTTCATGGTCCTTACAGCTATATTCCTTAATATAAAATGTATTTCTGGTATGGCATTTTTATATGATTTTGTCATCAGAAGCAATGGCTTCTGAGAGGGAACATGACATGATCTTTTCAATACATCGGCGTTGTTTCCGTTGACACTGAAAATTAGGCTGGGGCTGCAGTTCAGAGGTAAAGTGTATGCTTAGCATGCATTGAAGTGCTGGGTTTGAATCCCAGTGCTGCATAATAAAGGGAAGAATAAATCTGTAAATTTCTTTTTTTGTTTGTTTGTTTTGTTTTTGTTTTTGGTACCAGGGATTGAACTCGGGTCCTTGCGCTTGCAAGGCAGGCCACCAAACCGCTGAGCTAAATCCCCAGCCCTTAAATCTGTAAATTTCCCACGGCTCCACCTGACATGCTGTCCCGTTCCCTGCCTGTGAAGGCCCAAGCTCATACAGATGATGTTTTCCCTCGGTGCTGGGGACTGGACCCAGGATGTTCACACGGAGCTATGTCCCCAGCTCTTTTTTTTATTTGTTCTTGGAGACAGGGTCTGCTAAGTTGCTCAGGTTGGGCTTGCCATCCTCCTGCCTCGGCCTCCCAGAGTGCTGCTGCGATCACAGGCGTGCACCACCACACCTGGCTATACTGAGGATTCTGTGTGCAAGCTTCCAGGCTGGGAACATTTTTCTATCTCTGCAGGAAGTCTCATAATGTCAGCAACAGGATCTGCTGGGGCACCAGGATTTTTCCAGTTTGGGCTGGGTCTTTGGTGGGGCTTGACCCTCTTCCCCTGCTCACTTTTCCCACTGTGGTCCCCTGCCCCAGACCACCTCTTCCCTCCTTCCATGGAAGCAAATAGAGCAATACAGTCCTTTCACTCAGGCCCCTCTCCCTGTGCAGGAAGACCCAGATGTCACCTAAACACCTCTCAGCCCAGAATGGAGCTGCACTGGAATGAACCTGCTCAAAATCCAGTCTCTTGACTCTCAGAGATTGCGAGCTGGTAATTAAATAAAGTCAGCATGAAAAATAGAAGTACAATTTTCACTGGGCCTAGAAGTGCATGCCTGTGATCCCAGCACTCGGGGAGGCTGAGGCAGGAGGATGTTGAATTTGAGCCCAACTTGGGCAGTTTAGCTACTTAACAGGACCCTGTCTCAAAAAGGGGGGAGGGTTCGGGGATTTAGCTCAGTGGTTCTGCCACTTGCCTCTCAAGCACAAGGACCTGAGTTTAGTACTAAAAAAAAAAAAAAAAAAAAAAAAAAAA